ACAATGGTTAACAATGGTATAATGATTTAATGAAATATAATAAATAATAATTGAGATTGCCATCAACAACACCACACACAGCAACAACAATTACCTACTAATCTACTAATACTACTAACACTACTTATCTACTTCTACTAACTAACTAATCTACTAACATCCACTGTTCAGGTTTCCCATTTTCATTGTCAGTGTGCTACTCCTGATGTTTATTGTATTTGACCTATTTGTGTGTTTTTACTGTTGTTTTGGTGCTGTACTGCTGCTGGATTTGTATTCAATACCATACTATATGAAATACAAACATTTATAACCTTAGTATTAGACTTCTATTATATTATATTATAGTATTGTTTTAATATTAGTATTAGTATTAGTATATTTGATTATCCATCCATCCATCCATCCATTTTCATCCGCTTATCCGTTACCGGGTCACGGGGGCAGCAGTCGCCACCCAAATCACACTGCACCGTACCAACCCCCCTAAACCTTCCTGTGGGTGGTGAGTCCACTGGAAGTGTATTTGATTAGCCAAATCAAAAATGATTTAATGAAAAATCACTAAATCGATTTCCATACCGGATCAAGGCTCGGGTTGACCTACAGGGTACTGGTGGAAATTGGACTACTGTTGGTAGAAGACAAAGAAGAAGAGGAGGACGATTGATTTGGACAAAAAGAGAAAAGATGAAGAATAGAAGTGTTGGTCTGAAGTTTGGAACTCTGAATGTAGGTACAATTACAGGGAAAAGTAGAGAACTAGCTAATATGATGGAAAGAAGATGAGTAGACATTTTGTGTGTGCAGGAGACCAGGTGGAAGGGCAGCAAGGCTAGAAACATTGGAGGAGGCTACAAGCTGTTTTATCAAGGTTCAGATGGGAAGAGAAATGGAGTAGGGGTGATCCTAAAGGAAGAATATGCAAGAAATGTAGTGGAGGTGAAATGAGAGACAGGTTGATGTGTGTGAAGGTAGAAATAGAAGGAGTGATGATTAATGTTGTTAGTGGTTATGCCCCCACGTGGGCTGTTAGAAGAAAAGGAGAAGTTCTGGAATAAGCTGGATTGGATGATAGAGTATCCCCAGGGGAGAGAATGTGGTGATTGGAGCAGACTTTAATGGTGATGTAGGGGAAGGGAACAGAGAAGATGAGGAAGTGATGGGCAGGTTTGGTGTTAGGGATAGAAATATATAAATAAAAAAAATAAATTTGGAAGGACAGGCAGTGGCTGTGGTATTTTACAAAGAGAATGGAAATGGCTGTGGTAAACACCTATTTCCAAAAGAAAAAGGAACATAGGGTGACGTACAAGAGTGGAGACTGGTCCACACAGATAGATTATATTCCATGTAGAAGAGGTAATCTGAGGGAGATTAATGACTGTAAGGTGGTGTAAGGTGAGAGTGTTGCCAAACAACATTGCATGGTAGTGTGCAAAATGACGATGGAGGTGAAAAAAAGGAAGAGAGTGAAGACAAAGCAAAAGATCAAGTGGTGGAAATGAAGGAAAGAGACATGTTGTGAAGACTTCAGGAAGGAAATAGGGGCAGTTCTGGGCTGTTTTGAGGAATTCCCAGATGATTGGAGGACTACAGCTTCAGTGATTAGGGAGACAGGTAGGAAGGTGCCAGGTATGTCCTCTGGGCAGAGAAAGGAGGACAAAGAGACCTGGTGGTGGAAGGTACAGAAGAGTGTGCAGAGAAAGAGATTAGCAAAGAAGAGATGGGACAGTGACAGAACAGAAGAGAACAGACTGGAGTACAAAGAGAGGACAAGGGAGGTGAAGAGGGATGTGGCCAAGGCCAAACAAAAGGCATATGAGGAATTGTAGGAGAGTTTGGACACAAAGGAAGGAGAAAAGGAGTTGTATAGATTGGCGAGAGAGAAATCAAGCTGGGAAGGATGTGCTGAATAAGAATGAAGGCAAGACAGAGAACATGTGTGTAAACGAAAGGCAGAACAGTGAAATAGTGAGGTTACAAGGAGCAGAGGTGGTGAAGGTGCAGGAGTTTAGGTACTTAGGATCAACTGTTCAGAACAGCGGAGACTGTGGAAGAGAGGTGAAGAATAGAGTGCAGGCAGGATGGAACAGCTGAAAAAAAGTGTCAGGAGTGATCTGTGATAGAAGAGTGTCAGCTAAGGTGAAGGGAAAGGTTTACAGAACGGTGGTGAGACCAGCCTTGATGTATGGTTTAGAGACAGTAGCAATAGGCAGAAGACAGGAGGTGGAGCTGGAGGTGACAGAGTTAAAGATGCTAAGATTCTCTTTAGGAGTGACAAGAATGGACAGGATCCCAAATTAGGTCATTAGAGGGACAACACAGACAGGAAGGTTTGGAGAAAAAGCTAGGCTAGAGAAGCCAGATTGAGATGGTTTGGACATGTGCAGAGGAGGGACAGTGGATACATTGGTAGAAGAATGTTAGAGATGGAGCTACCAGGTAGGAGAAAGTGAGGAAGGCCAAAGAGGAGATATATGGATACAGTGAGGGAGGACCTGCAGATAGTTGGAGTCAGAGTAGAAGATACAGAGAACAGGGAGAGATGGAAATCAATGATTCGCTGTGGCAGCCCCCGAAAAAAGTCACAGATAGTACACAGATCTGGAAAAAAACACTGACAATTCATTTAAACTCTTAACTGCTTGTTTTTCCCAATCAGTATCTGTGTGCCTTTGGGCAGTGTTTAACATCACCTACAAAAGCATCATTGTTTAAGATACATTATATAACTCCACAAACCTGTTTTAGTCTTTACTCTGATGGTTTTATGTGTGTTTGTGATCCAAGTAAAAGTCCCGTGTAAATGCTGCCTTAGAATGAGAGCTAATACAGTTTTTCTCTGCAGGTGCATCAAATGCTGTAGACACTTTCACTGGTAGCCATGCTGAAAGGTTAAGGAGAGTTTTATTTTTGCAAACACAGTCTCTCTGTTGGTGTCCAGAATAATTGGTTGTTTTTGGTTTTTCTGTTGCTGCTCACTTCTCGAGGTTACAAGAATGATCTTTGTGCCTTCATTTTGCCCTGCTTGAGGGTAACATTCTGAATGCTAAGTAAATAGAAGTGACTTAAAAAAGGTTTTTTATTTCCACCTAAAAAATCAATCTCAAAATACAGTACAATTGTGAATGGCACCAAGAGTGTGACCAATCAGATTTTAACTTCCTGTGGTGCACTATACTGATGCTATGCTAGTTTAAGTACAGAGGGGTCCTAACATACGGGTTAAATTCATTCCACAACAGCACTCGTATGTCAATCCACTCGTATCTATTGCATTTTCCCCATTTAAAATAACTAAAAACCAATTAATTTGTTCCAGCCCCCCAGAAATATACTATTAATTAATTAAATTAACCCCCCATCTTAACATTAAAAACATAGGTATAAACAAATATATTGATAATAGAAAATAGTAATAATTAAGAAAACATTTTATATGAGATCCCGATAATTTTCTCTGTGCAGATAAATGTGTAAATAATCTTGGTTCAACCATTTTACTCTGCTAAGACACAGCTGACAATAATATCATTCAAATATTTCACTTAATTACTAACCTAATGTCTATGAAGATTCTCAGTCATCCAGGTCATGGTCAAGGTCACTGGACATAAATTTCTAAAAGAAGATGTTTTACCTCTCATCCAAGAAGCCTCTTGAATGAGAGGTAAAACATCTTTTAGAAAATTCACGTCCAGTTGCCTAACAGATCTTTTCAACCTTAACCTTCTAATCTACTAACATCCACCGTTCAGGTTTCCCATTTTCATTGACAAGTGTGCTACTTCATGTGTTTGTATTTTATTGTATTTGACCTATTTCTGTGTTTTTTACTGTTGTTTTGGTGCTGTACTGTTGCCGGAGCCTAAATTTTCAGAAGGGAAGACCCGAGGAATTAATAAAGTGCTATCTATCTATCTTAATTAAAATCACAATTATAACCTCAATGTAGGGCACAAGTTCTTTTTAAAAACACGCTTGTTTATTTGACGAAATGCCTAGAGAGCAAATTAAAAACCAGAGAACTACATTTCCATACTACACATGAGAAAACTCACCATTTACACATCACATTCTGACTACTCTGGGAAAAAAATACAGACACACATTAAGAGCTCAGGAGAAAATATCAACAGAGATATCCCGCCATTACAATACAGCGAAAGAAGAGGAATCAAGAAGAGAAAATACTAATATCAGTGCAAAACGTCTGTGTCAGTCTTCACTGTTTTCTGTTCTACATCCTCTTAATATTGCACACACACCTACATGTTTATTATAGACACCTGCAGAGCCACATACCTGCTGACATGCTACGGACTTTTAAAGTGCAAGCTTGGAAATAGTATGATAGCCAGCTTGCAAAACATTTGGTTATAAGTTCAGATTACAAGCTTTTGAAACAGTCACTGTGCCTAATTATGATTAATTCATGTGTGGTGACCCTGATATGGGAAAAACTGAGGGAGAGAGCCCTTAGTGAGAGAAATTAAACCTGTAAATTCTTCATTAATCCATAGTAGTAACTAGTGTGATTAGGTCAGTAAGCTTTGTGTGGGGGTGGTGCGGGGGAGGGGCGGGAGTACACCAACACTAATGTGTTTAACTGTGTATTTATGTGCACTGCCCCCAAAACCTTTTATTTAGAGTTAAGCTGTAATATCTGGTGAATAAAAAAAAACTATTCAGTGAACTTTGGAGCATCTCTGGAAATTGCCACCAAAAACAACAACAAAAAACAAAAACAAAACACAACCCAAACATCAATCGTGTCTGGACCCACCTACAGTGATACACATCTGCCATAGTAAACATTTAGGATGTACTGCATTAAGCTAAAATAATACATTGGATTAACATGTACATGAAATGTAAAAATAAATTTGTAACACTAAAAAGAAAGTGGACAAATGAAACTTAATGCTATGGAGAGGCTGTTATTTAAATAAAAGCCTGGTTCTGGGGATGTGGGGGCACAGTAGTTAAGGTTTTCCAGGTCTGACACATAGAGGTAGGTAAAGCGAGGTCCCATCCAGGAACCAGAAACCTGAGAAAACACATATCAGTTCCCCTTAACCTCCAGAAGTTAGAAATATTGACAGAAATATGTTGAAATGAACTGCAACCATGTCGACTGTCCATCTATACACAGACCAGAGAGTGTCGTGATCCAGCCTATAGACTTGTTAAGTGTGTGCACTCCAGGGCTTTATCAAAGCCAAGCAGCCCCAACAGCAAAACGCTAATACACTGTGTCTCTTCACTGCAAGTTGTTGTTTTGGTTTTTTCTTTGCCGGAGCTACAGTGAACTGTGTTGAGGCACCTCTGCTAGAACCTGAACTGCTTTAAAGACTACAAGGCCAAAAAGACATGTGTTGAATAAGCAGCAGAGCAAACAGAGATTAGGATTTCAGTGACGCTCCAGCTGTTCACGTAGTGTTGGACAAGTACAGGAAAAAAAAGTACCTGTTACTTTTTACATCATCAGCTACAACTAGAGTGCAAACCACAGGAGGCTGTTGAATTATAAGCAGCTGCTCAACACTTATAATGGTACAGTCAATCAGTGTGAGGATGTGAGAATCTGACAGGAAGTGATGTAAATGTGGTGATTGTAAAGGTAATCAAGTGTGTGAGACATCACAATATTTACAAATTGTGCAAAACCCACTGTAAATAACCAAAGAGGAAAGTGTTACATTTGAAGAGTACAGAAGTGACAGTTCAACTCATAATAACTAAGAACCATTGAAACTAGTGACACCAATGTCTACATACAAACTATACAGTGACTCTTCACATGTTGAATAAATGCTGAAAGTGTTTCCACAATGCTTGGTGCTGTGGCATAAACCGATCTTTGCTGGAGGAAACAAATTAACCTGTTATTAAAAAAAGTCAGAAAGGCACAAGCTTCAAAAGCAGCTACGAGGCTTTCTCAGGTTCACTATTGTATCAACAGAATCTGCTGCTACATTGATCAGAAAAAAACCCCAACAAATATAACACAATAACAACCTAGCCACATCAAGGAAGGAAAGTGAAAAAACAAACTGATTCTTTTCATATCCAAACAAACGTTTAAAATGGATGCAGATAAAGCCTTGCAGCAAACTTCATTAACAGTTGATCACAACTGGCAACTAAAACCAGGCCATCTATAACATACAGAAACACAGGCTTTGGTTTGGAAAGAACACCCCTTTCAGAAGCAGACTCAGCTCTCAGTATCTCTCTGTGGACACACTGCAGGGTCTGGACCATGTGTGTGGCTCATACATTGAACATGCCCAGGCTGAGGAGTGTCATCTTCAGACAAATGGGTTGGATTGGTACTTTCTACATCACTAAAACCTGCTCTTCACAGTACATGCCTAAATTAAAACAGTTAAGCTTCTAATGTGTCTGCCTATCCCACCCTGCCCACTTGTCAGAAGGTCAGCTTCTTTGTGGTGATGAGCTCTTCCAGTTGAATCCTGCCGCTGCCCATGAGGCCAAAGGCCGGATACATTGTTCCTGAACAGTCCACCTGCCTCTCGTAAAGGCACCTCATGGTGTCAGCGTCGTAGAAACACACACGACACGCTTCATAGTCCAGGCAAACCCCCAGACGCTGTGGCATGGGCAGCACACGGTTTCCTGGCTCAGCAGACGGCATGCTTGTGGACGACACAGAGGAGGAAGATGAGGCTTTTGGGATGAAGATTTTCCCCATGCCAACAGTGAGGAGGGTAAAGGGCTGGGAGACATCGTAGCATGTATCCTCACTGCCACTGTCATGACCACTGTCGTGGTCGTATCTGATAAAAGGATGAGAGTGGGATGTGGGATGAGCGACAGTGGCATAAAAACAACAAACACAAAATAACTGTAGTCTGTTTACTCACCAAATAGTTGAGTTGCACTGGCATTTTATTTATGTGTTTACAAGCAATTTCAAATACTTTCAAGTAGGGATGCCCAGTAATAGTATCACTGCACAATACTACCAGTACAGTACAGTATTCTAAATTCAATTTTTTATAAAGATTTTTAAAGATAAGATACATTTAAAGATTTTGCAACCCAAAATTCTACATCATTTCTTTTAATCTAATTTAATTTCTAATTTAATTCTAATTTAAAGAAATTACTGTAATGTTGGACTTCGTGTCGTTCACTGTCGCCCAGTGGGTGTTCAAGCTGGGCCTCTTACATCACAGGATAAAAAGTGACTAAAAGACACACACCTTGTTAAGGTGTTGTTAAGGTATGACGTGCATCACTGGAGGGGTGATCACAAGCCAGAGACTCATGAATTATGATTGATTTGGTCTGTTGGACTCAGCTACACAATAGTACACACGTCTTGGCGGATTTTCTATCGATCAAGGAACATTTATGAAGGGTAACCTTGTGCTGGGACAATGAACATGCACTTGCCTCGGGCTGCTGGTATCTCTGGGATTGTGGAACCATTCAATCAGCTTCGAGTCAGAGGCCACGCCCACTTTCACCATAAACGACTGAGGGTCCACTCTAAATGCCCAGTAGTGTCTGCAAAACAAAAAATAAAGCAATTTATTATTTATTTTCTGGACTGCCAGTTAAAATGACAACATTCTCAGTAATTTTTCCCCAATGGTGCTCATTTACTGACATGCCATCCTCTGTGACAAAATTTTATTTATGATGAGGGGCACCCCTTTTTCAGTGGAGTTAAAGTCCTCCTGACGGCTGTGTCATTACAGCTGACAAAAGTAAATCTTCATCCTTCTGTTTTCCTTCAGGAAGACTTGACATCTATGCTCCCTTCATTATGGAGAGAATAAAGAAATTTTGATGGGGCACAAATGTTTAACCATTACCTATTATCTCTCCACATACCTTCCCTGAGAGATGCCCGTGTCTCCAATTATATAATCCAGAGGAATATAACTGCCTGTCTGCACGCGTTCTGCTGCCAGGAGGAAGGCCATGCCTGCCACACTATCCACAACATCACGCTGCTTGTTCAGGATGAGCCGCTCTGCACTGAAGCCACACTTGTCACTGAACAGAAATCCAAATGCTGTAAGTGAAGACAGGGGTGGGAGGTCACAAAAAGTGAAATAAATGACAATATTTCAATAGCAAATAAAAATTATTACAACCAAAAAAAAATACATTTCGAGGATACAGAAAATAAAAAAAGGAATGGGGAAATGTATTCTCTATACCCTAGCAACCAACCTTATTCACACCATAGACTATTCTAATCTGGGACTAATGTAGGACACAAGGCATAATTATGCCCGTTTACTCAACTATGTAATGCACTGGGGCGGTCCCTTCATTTACATGTAGAGAGGATTCTTTACTTCCAGCAGGAGGACACATGATGCGGAGTAGCAGTGCCTGGAAGCTACTTCACCAACTACCATCTTGTCTACCAGGACCACCAACAGTATTGGAACATGAAACGTAAGAACCATGTTTAAAACAGGTAAAGACGCAAAGTGGCTGCGGAAATGAGAAACTACAGACTGACAATAATAGGGATCAGTGAGGCCAGATGGAACGGCTCAGGACATATCCGACTCTCTACTGGAGAGCTGGTGCTGTACTCAGGAAAAAGTAATAGAAAGTGATAGAAAAAAGTCAGGTGATCACTGTTGATCTTTCATTCTAAAATATCTTACATTGGATGAATTAGGGCTGAAGGTTATATAGCAATGCACATAAACATTTTAAACTTCTGTTTATGAAGATTATCAGTCATCCAGGTCATGGTCAAGGTTGAAGAGTTCTGTTAGGCAACACAGGGGGGCAACTCCCCAGGACAAGACTCTGTTCACATACACCTCAAGGACAAAACACACTCCTTCGAGGACAACAAGGAGGTTGCCTGAGACACACCCTAATGGAAATTACTTGACATGGTCTATGGATGTATTGTTTTGCACCAACACATATTGATCATTTTATCAGGACGCCATATTTTATCTCAATGCTGTTGTGGCAAACTCCCTCTTCTTTAATGGACAGTTTAAAAGTCTCCATAAGGTGATGTACCTATTAAGAAAGTAAGTCAATTCTTATGATGCAGGGTCCTAACTTGTCTTTATTAACATACATATTTTACATAACGTTACAAATACAATTTCTATATTATCTGTTACAGAGGAAGTCCCCAGCAGAGAGTTGTTTGGCTGTGTCATGTGAATGTTACTGCACATTGGATTCTTGTGGTCTGTTTCCAAAATATTTGATTTCTGATGACTTAGTACTTACTTGACAGATTTTCTCTTTTGTTATGTGGACACATTTAAAAATGAGGATGCCTACAACAGGAAGATCCTGAGGAACTCGTGGTAATATACAGAATTATAGCGATTTCATGCCTATAGTAATGTGCTAACACACTAAATAGAGTCAGAACCATGTATTTATTGAGATTTGTTGTGTATAATAATGTTCTGCCACCCCAAACACAAATGTCAGATATGGCTATAAATTTCCACTACAGGTAGGAAAAAACTTCAGACTACGCTATAAATTTCGGCTACCGGCCGATGTACGCATGTGCAGTTAACTTGGGTAGCAAAAAACACCGGGCAAGTTACGTCATTTTCTGCTTATAGATCGTGGATGCCTGGGATAAGGTATCAGTCCGAAATGTCGCCCGAGCTTTCACAAAGGCCTGAATCATCACTGAACAGCTTATTAACAGCAACAAGACTGACTCTAATATTGACAAGAGGGATCCGGGCATGCTTGATTGTTCCGCTTAAATGTTTCGCTGACTGTTTTGTTTCGCTTAATGTGCCTAACAACCTGATGCGCCTTATGTATGAAAATATTCCTGTTCATTGATACTGCGCCTTATAATATGGTGCACCTTATGGTCCCTAAAATACGGTTCTCATATACAGGAATATACATACATTAGCATTGCAGTGAGCATAAATATACACATATACATAATACATACATACTTATATAGAATATAAAATAGAAATACAGTGGTTTATAGAAATATAACAGTAATTCAAATGAAGATTGTGTTTATTGCACTAATTGTTGCAGGGTTATTGCACTTACTCCCCTATCCACCAGTCGTTTGTTCACCCTTCGAGTTTTTTAGTCTATTGGTCCTGCTCTTTGGATGAAGGAGCCTGTCACTGAACAGACTCCTCTGATTGGTGATGACAGTGTGCAGTGGATGAGTGGCATTGTCCAAGATGGCGAGCAGTTTGCCAAGTGTTCTCTTCTCTGCTACTGTCACCAGAGGGTCCAGTTTGATGCCCACCACAGAGCTAGACTTCCTGATCAGCTTCTCCAATCTGTGTAAGTCCTTCTTTGATGTGCTGCTCACCCAGCACATCACACCTCCTGAGTTTTTGTTTGGATTCCCCAAAGTCTATGACCAGCTCCTCCACCAGTATATCCCCTGGTTGTACAGTGCCGAAGCTCGTCCATCTTATTGGGAAGAGAGTTTACGTTGCCCATGATGATGGAGAAAATCGTTCATCCGCTATCTTCACCTTTACTTTAGCCCGGCTCTGCATCCTCTCCTTTTTGTCTCTGCCGGTATGTTGTGCCGTATTCTGTGCTTAGTTGTCCTCAGAGCCAGCAGCTCGTCCTTTGAAAAAACGAGAGAACTGGCTCTGGTTGCCGTTTTAAGATTGCCGGTATCCATCAGATACATTTAATAGTAGTACTCCATGAAAGGAGCAAATAAAAAGTACCGGTAAGTGGTGAAAACAGAATAGTGCTGCAGAGCGATCAGAAGGCTGCTCCCGTCAGAATTAGTGCCATCTTGACTAAATTTTGCATATAAAATAAGCTACTGGCGCTTTGCCCCAGAGGCAATATCTCTGTCATTGGTGTGGAACCCCAGGGTTCACCTCCTTGGCAAGATTGAATCCCGGTTAGGGCGGTTGGTACCTTCCAGTGGACCCACCACCCACAGGAAGGTTCATGAGGGGCTTGTACGGTGTAGTGTGATTTGGGTGGAGACTATTGCCCCTGCGACCCGGTAACGGATAAGCAGATGAAAATGGATTGATGAAATAAGCTACTACTGTTGCAAGGGTTATTACTGTTGGATATAAAAATAACAACAGTCCTCAAATAGAGATATTTTTACTGACGTCAACCCGTCTCTAGCATTCCTTGGTCTATCCAGGAATGAAGATAAAGAATCACCCACTGATTGTAAGTAAGTGCTATAACACTACTTCTTCATCACAATCTTACCAGGTGCAGGTGGTGTGTGGAGCATGATCTCAGGGCTGTAGGGACTGAACATGGAGTTCCTGCAGGTTCGAACCCTGAAGGAGTACAGACTGTTGGGCTCCAGGTCACACACAACAGTGCTGGGACCATACACCCGATCTGTGGACCTCCAGACACCGCTGTCCTCACTGTCCTCACAGGGGGCCCCACGTCTAAAAAAATTAAAAAAAAAAAAATCCAGAGATTCCTCATTTACCTCTATGTTTCAACAGCATTGCTGTTGTGTGGATTTATTTATGACCTATTAACAGGTAAGTAATGTAAAAACTTCTCTGACCAGGGAGCAAGCACTAGAGGCCAGAAATTGTAACAGCAGTAAACATATTATTTTGTCTTTTGTAAATTAAACAGGATCAAACTTTTACACTACTTTGATAAGATATATTTATGATATATTTATGCCAAAATAATCATGGTAATTGAAATAAAATTTGAAGGGAAGAGCATGTCCTATTATAGCAAAAGTGATGTAATTCTCCATCATGTCTGTTCAAATTGTTTTTCTTTCTAATCACTGATATAATGAGCTCGTGTTTACCTGCAATATTCAACCAGGTGGTGATCTGTGGGAAGGTGATCATCAGACAGTCTCCAGGAGATTGAGGCCTTATTGTAAACATGGCTGTTGGACAGGTCAATCAAAGGAGGTTCTGGTACTGGAGAGGAAGGAAGAGGAGGAAGACCAAAGGTGTATAAGTAAGCCAAACAAAGATTGTCGTTATTGTGAGGGAAACAACATGTTGGTCTGTAAACAGAAGAAGTCTCAGTCTCAAAGAAATTAAAAAACGCAATTTCCAGTAAAATCTTAAGCCATAAAGACATCACTTAGGAGAAATGTAATTTGAGCATTGCTGAAGTGGCAGTCTCAGTGTGTCAAAGAGTCAAAACTTGAGCATTTATAACTTTTCCACCCATTACAAACAGACCAAAACTGAAAGAAAAAGACCAGATGGACAATTCAAGAGTGTAGCACAGGTCAAAATTGGAACTTAAGGAGGAGTAAAAATATGATCCTAACATAAAAGTTCCAGGACCTGGTAACTTCTGCTGACAGAACTTCTAGCCTGGTATTCCCTAAAAAGCTTTCATTTTAACTGTAGAACTGAATGAACAATGTTCTCCATTTGACATTTAAAAAAATAAAAATAAAAACAGGACTAAACCAGAACATAAATGGACATTCATACATGATGGCCCAGTATGAAAGCCACTTCAGAGGGAGCCCACATACTCAAAATCTGAGGAGGGGTCTCCACTGGACTAACACCAGGGCATTGTCACAGTGTTGTTCAAAAACTTTGTCAGTGAACAACTGGGGATAGTAAATAAAGGTATTAAGATCTAGTAAAATCTAGTAAACATGCAGCATTATGGCTAGAAAAAATTATTTAATAAAAAAAAACTGGTAAATTATGCACTCTGTAGACAGTAAGTCTGTACACAAACATGGGCCGTTGTGGTCCTCATCAGAAAGTTTCAGTAACCTGCCTCTTTGTTATGTGAATCTGAGCAGAGAATCTTTTGGGTATTGTTCCTAAGAGTGCTTTGTATGTGGGTGACAAAGCACCCTGTTGTCACAAACTAACTGTTCTCTAAAAGTGTGACACAACATACAAAAGTCAGCCTGATAGCTTTTATACATTTGTGGTTGATGCTACAGTAACTAAAAATTTCACAGCGGAGCAACAAAAAGACACAGGCTCCTGCAAGCTTGGGTTTTTTTTTTTAATAGAGGCAACAACTGTCACCTGCCTACTTTTAAGTAATTATTGCACACTTTTTGTAAGTCCTATAAACTTCATTTCACTTCTTAAATATCACTGTTTGCTATATGATGTATCCATCCATCCATCTGCTTATCTGTTACCGGGCCGCGGGGGCAGCAGTCGCCACCCAAATCACATTGCACCATACCAACCCCCCTAAACCTTCCTGCAGGTGGTGAGTCCACTGGAAGGTTGCTATATGATATATTTAATTGAAATTGCTGTTCCGAACAACCAATGATACATATAGGAAAATCTTGAAAATGATCAGGGGTGCCCAAACTTTTTCATACCACTGTAACAACAGGTTATTTGTGGAGTAATGATGATGATTAATCACAATTATGTATTTTCTATTTTGAAATACAGGATATACTTTCCATGACTAAGGGCAGCTTGATTATTGTGTATGTTGCAAAACAGAATAGAGACAATATGTTATTCTATATTGTAATGCCTTTCACAACACACAATATTTCAGCCAGCTTTAAGTCAAAATCATAATTTGTTTACAATTTCAAAAGTCATTCACTATTTGCACTTTATATGTTTTGCATTCAGTTGTTTTATCTACAGACCTTTGTACATTAATGATTATTTGATCGTTGGTTGACTACAGAAACAACCCAACATTAGTTGAAAAAAACATTTAGCTTGAGCCTGGTTAGAGCAAGTATAACATCATTAAGTTTGTCAGTGCCATAAAGGCATCTGTAGCTTTTCTCTCCTGGGAAACTTCTCCCTGAGTGGTTCTTGACAAAACAAATCTATCTCATAGATCAGGGAAAACCACTAACAATATGTCTGAGTCATGTCTCTATTTATTTTAGCTGTTCACAATGACCTCTGACCTTTAAACACAGAACATTTGCAGGGTCACACATGCGGTGGCAAACAAAAGAAAAATGATGTTTATATTGTCACCTGTAAAGAAAAAATATATAATAATATTCTAAGAATATGTAAATATTCTTAGGGTACATTTTAATAAGCATATCTGACATGTATATTTGTCACCACGTGTGACAGACTATATTTCTGTTGATATTTCTATATTTCTAAGTGAAGTTGCTTATAAAGCAGGGTGTATAAAGAAAAACATGTAGTTTAGGTGCATGATGCAGGTTGTACCTCCACCAAAGCACATCTCTTTGAGCAGAGTTTCTTCTTTGGACGTGTCTAGGACAAACTCATCAAAGCTGGGATCAGCTGCAGGGTGGAAGGTCCTCAGAGAGTCAGTCGCTTTCTGAATTCTATAAACAGTGTGACACAAAAAAAGAGACAGATCCATCTTTAGAAATTAAGTCTGAAGTAATGTTAGATATCCAGATGTTTTCATCAATTTTAATGAATGTTAACAACAGTCAAATGTCAAGTTTTCCTGTAGACAGTTTATTCCGGATTATTTCAGCTGCTACAGGAGATCAATGAGTCAGTTTAAGATCAAGACACAGCAGCAGGCATCACTGACCGAACACATTTATCGCCTCGAAGCTACTTAATTATTAAGCAGTTATTAGCAGACTGTTCAGTGCTGCATGAGTGCAGGATTTTTAAAGGTAAAAGCTATCAACGACCATTGACTATTCAGTTCAGAATTGTTTTTTACACTGAAAGAGCAGCCATTAAACTATTTATGAGGCTTCGACAGCGATCATTGTGGTTAATAACCTTATAACAGTGAAAAAAAACAACAGAAAGGTATGGGGATATCTATTAAAAATTATTAACTGACATTAACTATACAACCTCAGGGACTCGATTAGGCAATTTGTTTCAATGTAGGGAGACTATGGTAAAGTCAGGACCATTGATATACATATATAATGACTGGACTGTACCGGACATGCAGCTGCTTTGCAGTTTGTACAAAGCAGGACTGGTCAGTTTCTTTCAGCACTTCCTGAGCATAGCCCACCAGACCACTATTCTCCAACATGCCTTGGTATTCCTCCACCTGGAAAACATGAATACAACCCCATTGCATTCTGAATTTTCAATTTTTTTCCTGACAGCTACACTCTAGGTATACCTGGCCCCAATATTTGTACCTGGGACTTAAGTTGGTTCAGACGTCGGCTTCGAGACTGTTCGATGGACCTCAGCATCTCTGACTTCCTCTCCTGCAGAGTCTCAAACAGATGATCAAAGTGTTCATTGGCTTCACGTTCCGCCAACTGACCGTTCTCCTTCAAAAGAAAAAACAAAAAAAACAATGTTTACCGCATAAGGTGTGGTATACATAAACAATTCCTGTAGACAGGCAGTCACAGTATGCCTTTATAAAAAAAAATTAAAAAAATATTAGGTTATATTCCAAGTGTTGACCTTTCATCAACAAACTTAAATACCTATTACTTAAACTTTAGCTTAAAAATAAAAAACAGACAACAAAGACATTTTGACTTTGTAGGATTTAACAGTAGATATTGACAAAAATGGTTGACCCCACACCACCTGGGAAACAAATGAGCTGTTCAAGGCATTTTGCATATTTTGTGTTCACAGAGCTTCCCTGATCCCTCTCACTCTCACACGTCAAGCCACCTCTCCTGAACTTAACAGACTGGTTCTGATATAACTTTATAAATATTTGTATCCTGGATTAAGGATTTGAACTCGTTTTGCCTTTTAGTTGGAAGCCAGGACTATCTGCTGTTTGTGTGTAGTCGTAACAGTACTGATAATATTAAATGACCTAACAAATTCCACAATAACTATTATTTATTAAACATCTTTTTTTTAATCCATTACCCATGCAACACACTGCAGACTCAGAGAAAAACTGGACAAAGGGATGCTAGAATTGCAGAAGCATGAGTCAGATCCCTCTCACCTCTGTTTGACTGATTAGCTGCTCCAGATCAGTAATCTGAGTCCTGACCTGGTCCTCTTTGCTGATGAGGTAATGGATACTCTTGGCAAGTTTCTCCTGTTGAGACAGAGGATCAGCAGCTTGAACAAGTAGGTTCTTATAAGGTCTGTGAGCAAGAAATGCAAATCAACAAAGCAGAGTCACAGGCACTGGTATGACTGATATACAGTATAACCAGTGATGACTGACCATGTGTCTGGAATAACATTTAACAAAATGTTGACATAGATTTACAACTAAAGCTACAAAACATAGGACTATGACAGTGAGGTTCTAAATATGTGCACAACCGCGAACCGCCTTTGAGCACCCGGGAGTGACATTGCATTAAAACCTGAAACTGAACTTCCTGAATGACGGGATTTCAGGACATCTGATACGTCGTCCAATGATTTAATAACACAACGCAAACAAAACCAAAAGAAACAAATACCGTAGTCTCATTAAAAATGAAACTGTTACTGTTTGACCACATGGAGCTGCAGATTGAATTTCACTAATAATGTCAACACGATTCAATTACTATTCAACAAATTTAAAACAACTTACATGATTGACATTGATTCTACTAATTAGGAACAGATAATCTAAAGTTCCTAATTCAGGATCGGTGTCTGTTTCCACTAAAGAGATTGACTTGATTGTGTGCCAACACAGGTTCAGGTGAGGCATTAATATTACAACAAGAGACATAAATTTCACGAATCTGTGACTGGTGGTTCAACAGATGTTACAAAAGTATTTTATATTGTAAATATATAAAGTAAGTAAAACAAAAGTGCTAAATACTAGGATATTCCCTCCTGTACCATAAATTCAACTATACATGTTATAATTTGCAATGCACTGCAGAAGTTAAAACTGTTTGTTTGTGGAGGCTTCAACTTTGATGTGCAGCCTGTGGTCAGACCAGCCTCCCTGAGCACAGAAGAGCAGAAAGATATATGGCTGACAATGTGACCGACACTATTGTCAAATGGATTGTGTGAAACTGTAGAATATTGGTGAAGACAATTAAAGCAACTCTCAACACTTTCTACAAGCCAATGGCAAGATGTAATGACAAAAAAAAAAATCCACCAACAATATGAAGAGAAATTATAGTATAGTTTTGCATATTCTTCTTGACTTCCATATTAATAATTTCATAATTTGGATCAGTCCCAAATACAGTGGTATGAAAAAGTTTGGGCACCCCTGATCATTTTCAAGATTTTCTTTATGTATCATTGGTTGTTTGGAACAGCAATTTCAATTAAATATATCATATAGCAAACAAACACAGTGATATTTAAGAAGTGAAATGAAGTT